AACCATGTAAAATTTTGGGAGCCGTACCTATTATACTTTTGTCTGGTCAAAACAGAAACTTTGAAGTCTGGTGATTACAGAGCATTTACCCCTAAACTACTAGTGTAAACACTGATCATTAATTGGCGTGTATGTTTTATGTTGTGTTGTAAATTAAATCGTAGTAGCCCAAGAGTTGGAAGAAGAGACATGAGGCCGGAGACACACAAGATCAGAGGATCGATTCCAGGTTGCACCAAGTTCTGTCGTTGTGTCCTTAGACAAGACACTTCACCCACATGGCCTAGTACAAAAGTGGCATGTGGATGATTGGTGGTGCTCAGAGGGGCATGGATTGGGCAGCTGTGGCTATAATAATATCTTACCACCACCCAGTACAGTGTAAATTAATAATGGTGAGAGTGTAGCGAGTGGCTTTGACAGACCTCTAAAGTGCATTACAAGTGTACTGCATTATTATTATTGTGATTGTCCTGTCTAGCCAATGCTCCATTGTACGAAGTATTATACCTCTGATGATGTCCAAGATAAAACTAACTGAGCTGGCAGTGTGGGGCTGGCACAGCACAGTAATGCAATAGTTCAAATTAGCATAAGATGACATTCTCTTACAATTTAATTTATTTTTAAGGTCATCACACTGAAATATAAAAAAAAGTTTCACATTACATACTTCCTTTTTAAGTTGTCATGGAGTTCAGCTTACCCAACCACCTCCCCGTTACCCTCACACTCTGCGTCCCCAACACTTCCTGGTCATATTTGTGTTCCGTCTCAGTACTTTTCCACTAAAGTCCTGACTCACAGCTGCACTGCACTTGAACCCGTGTACCCCTACCCAAGCGCGCTATCCAAACACCACCCAGTCCATTTACACTGGCCATCATACGCTTCATACCACATATACACATATACACACCACACACAGAGGAGGCCTGCTGTTATGTTCTTTTCTTCAACAAGTGCCAGGACATAAGTGCTCTGCTGGCTGACGGATGCCTGCCGGAGCTGGAGCCGAGCCTAAACAGTTTGGCAGTGATTGTACATATGGCGTTTCTAATGGCTTCATACATTAAGCAATACTACAATAATATACAATAATGAGCTTAGTTTATTCTAGGGTGAAATGTTTGGACCTTGTTGGGTTTGTGTATACTAACAACTAGGCGTTACTATATTCAGGAAATTACAGCCAGTACGTATTGAACCTTTCATGTGTTTTCAGTTACGTATATGCAATATTTGGTGGACTTTTTTTGCATTTGAAAGAGATAATATTTGTGTTAAATTGTTAAAGGACCCATATTAGGTTATTTTCTGATCTTTGATATAATGTTTATTCATCAAAAACATACCTGGAGTTGTGTTTTGTTTCATTCACACATGTTTAACACACAAACTCTGCACATTTAGGCTGTGAAAACACTGATGTCATGTGGTAATACAGGAAGTGCTTCACTGTATGTTTAAACTTGATTATTTCAATTCTGGAATCGCCAATCTCTATTGAACTAAGGGTAAAAGGTTGCTGTTAACTTGAAAACTACTACTTCATGACATCACAAGTTGGAACAGGGCATTTTGAGATTTGGAGATGTAGACAGACTAATAATAAAGGATTTCTCAAACATTTGTGAATGCAACAAAACAGAACTCTGGTTATATTTTTCAGGAGGAAACAGCACTCTGACTTGGCTTAAAGCTCACAAGAGTCAGTTTTGTGTAATATATGGCCATTCTCCTGATTTGTCCTTGTCATTATTATCCTAAACAATACCCATCACCCAACACACTTTCACATTAGTTTATTTTTAAGCTTATCTTGGATACTTGTGCTCATCTAAACATTTCACTAATAACAGTCTTTGTGCATACCACGTTCTAGACTGGCACCAGTGGTATGCTCTGTACCATTCAGATCTAAACCCTGAATTCCACGAATGCCCAAACACACTGTGACCTCAGGCATCTCATCCCAACACCTAATTTCACTGTTTTTTTTAGGCAGGAAGTGTTGCTCTAAAACACTGTTTGTCTCTATGGCATCCTGCAGTTAGTGGTGCAGTGCATTCTGGTATGTTGTTTAGTATCACGCTTTTCCTCCTCGCACTATGACCTGGGGCTGAGCTGGTCTATGCAGGGGGTTTATTCAGTAAAAATACCAACAAATGGGTCTGACAGTCTCACAGCAAGATGACATAGCCCTTGATTTAAGTTGAGTGATTACATGTTACACATAGTTTGGCTTAAAAGTGCAGTGCAACTTTTCTGGTCAAAGGTGCGCAAATGCTTGTCCATGGTGATGCTAATGTTTTGTCTAGAATGTTTCACAGTGTGGCAGGTATGTCCAAACTATGGCCCGAGGTCCAAAAGCGGCCCTCAGACAAATTTTTCTTGGCCCTCAGACTTCCAGGTGAATTGGCCCAAATTTAACTTTTTACTGCAAGGTTTTTGAAAATCTACCTTAATGAAGATAATATTTAATATTTAGTGTGTGGTTTTAAGTGTGAGTGTATGGCCTGAGGGTGGGCTCTTTCACTTGGGTGCAGTCTAACTATTGATCACTCATATAAAAGTGCTCTCTTTCCATCCCCTTGCCCTCTGACCTCACGCTCTGACTTCCAGTTTCCCACTGTTGACGCCGCTTGTTCACCACTCTCAGGTACTATTCCAGATTCAGTGTTAAGTTTAAGATTCAGTAAGGTCTTTAGCATTGATTACTTGCTTTTATTTAGTGCTTGTTGCCATGGGCCTATGTTGCTGCGGCGTCTGTGTACCGCCCGTAATGCCAGCTAGTGGGCGGGCTGGCTGCTTGGATTCTGCCCTTCCGCCACATTCGTCCAGTCACTAATACAGGTGTGTGTGTGTGGCGTAATATCAGACCTTCAAAACTATTGCTTAGTTGTACAATTAGGGGTAATGTGTATTTTACTTTAGATAGATCTTGAGCCAAGGAGTTGAGTGCACTGTCGCCGCCTTGCCTTTTCTTGCCGTTTCTGTGTACCGGTGTTTTCCGGAGATTTGAGCTCAGACTGGATTTCTGAACAAACTGTCCTTGGAACCAAAGTCATTCAGTGAACTGTGAACCAAATTGTCTTAACACCATTACTGTCACAATGATCTATTTAAGGGAAATGTATAAATAAACTGTATACTTTTGATATGTGTCAGTTATGTCTTTGTTCATCAACAACAAACCTTTTATGTATGAGCTGGTCCTGGGCCAACTCCCAAGTGGCATTGTTGGTTCTTTTCCTCTATGATGAGTTAGCTTAATGTAATTGTTAATTATTGGTTCAGCCAGTAGTTACCCCAAGACATCAATGTAGACTCACCCTTTCATGCCACATGAGGATCTTAGTATGAATAAAGACTGATGGCTCATTCTAACGTGTTAAACATGCACATATTTCAATGATTCACTGTATTGAGCACCAGTCTACGGCCCTTGATCAACCCTCTGCTTCGTGTGTGTTTAGATATGTGGCCCTTGATGAAAAAAGTTTGGACACCCCTGCAGTATGTTATTAAACCTGTTTTATCTTCATGCAGTCCAAACCAGACCAAATTACAGGTCAGACCTGCTCACAGTCAGAATGTTTGCCTAGGTATTTTTAAGCTATAAAACCACCTGTAATTTAATAAACGTAAGGTAGAGCTTTTTAATGCCATACTGTGGAACATTTCATGCAGAAAAACTTTCTGGTGTTAAAAAAGTTCATCATTCAGTATATTCTTATAAACCACATTATTAGCTCTAAGAAGGTTCTTTTGCTGAATTGCACTAGTGTTCTTGAGCCCTTTTAAAACTATACATTTTGCCCACCTAAATATTCCTCCTCCTCTCTCACTATTTTGGCCGTTCCCTACACCCTGTATGAAGTCCTATCTTTGTGAGGCGGCTGGTTTATGAGGTATGTCCTGCATGCCTGCACGGGATCAATGTCACCTTTCAGAAACTTTTGGACACAACACAGACTGGGAAGTGATGGCTACAAAGAAGCCCTTTGAGGTGCAGGCCTTACCCCCAGTGCTGACCTAAATCTGCTCATTCCCCCCTTCTCTCTCTCCCTTTCCCTCCTCCTCTCTCTCCCTCTTTCTACCTTTCAAGCTCCAACAGATTCTCAGACATCCAGCTCAGGCCCTGCTGTAGACGTGCACGTACTAGTATATCCATGGACGGAGCTCTTGAGTCATGAGGCGAGGGGTGGTCTCTGGGGGGCTGTGGGAGATCTGATAAGATGCAGACGTGTTTCAACTCTTCTCCAGGACATATACTAGAACCTTCACTGGTTTACAAGATGGTGAAATTCGACTGTCAAATTTGTTGTGTCTAAATCAACTCAGAGTTACTTCAAGGTTATATAAAAAGTCAATAGCATTAAGTGGTGGTACTTGAAAACCATTGTGGTATCATTGCAAAAACATTTCACCCAAGGTTTCTGAATTTTGTTCACTAACAATGGCAAAAAAAAAAAAAAAAAAAAAAAAAAAAAATCTGATTCAGAACTTTTTTGAGCTAACTACTGAAAGAAATCTATCTAGTCAATATTTTCCCATCTTTAGTTGTTGCTGATTGCTGTGGCCATTGACAGAAAAGTCTGAGTCACTCCTCTCTTCTTCAAAGCTGACTTTCTGTGAACTGGGCTCCCTGTGATTTCATCAGTAGCCCTCCCCCCTCCACCTGTACAGCCCCAGTACATGTTTACTCATGTCCCCCAAGGTAAACTCTACTACATTCACACTTAATGTACATCATCACCACGCCCTGCCTCCTCCTCCTCTGCACGTCCCAGAAGAACCCGCCGCGCTCAGATTGTTTCTCCATGTGTTACTGTATGTACTGTACTCCAATCCTCCATGGACCTGTTCTGAACCATGACACATCACAGTGTACGTAATCACTTCCACACACACACAAACCCATACAAGTCCACTGCATTTTTATCAGGCTTTTGTTTTATTTCAAAAATAAGTTAAACAACTTTATTCGGTGCTTATCAAAATCCATTCACACAGGTCCAACAAAAACATGGCGGAAGAATTTGTGACAGAAAACTTTGAAGAAAGAGACTGTTGCATTTGGTCAAACTAAACATAACTTGATTCTACAGGCTTTTATAACTGTGGAAAAAACATCACAAAATCACAAATCAAATTTGTGTGACAGCTTAGGATAAGAAAACAAGTAAAGTCCATCTATAGCTTTAAGGCACAGAAGGGCAGCACCAGTAGCAGATTACAGTACCAAAAGTTCAGTGACATTTTCCTGAATGATCAATAGATACACAAACTCCATGTGAGCGAGCAGGCCAATGCTAACCCGGCTACAGTTCACAAGGTTACCAGTGTGTTTACAGACTCAACTTGGCAGTTTCATTCCCAACAATAAATAACTGTGTGTTGTTTTCTTCTGATGATTGTCACTTGTTTTTTGTGTATCTTTCATGTGAATATTGTCACTTCCATTTCAACATTTCACTCTGTTTGACAGAGATTGTATAACAATTCTTTATTCTTTTAAAGCATTGGCTTTAAAATAGTAAAACAAATCTGAGCTACAAATCAAGAAACAGAAACAGTAAAAAACTCTGTCAAAAGCCAGGCTCAAGGGTCAACGAAGGACACAGCGATATAGCGGGTGCCGTTGGTGGTGGGCAGGCCCTCGTGCAGGTGGGTCAGGCGTCCTGGGTGCATAAAGCTCCACCCTTTTCTGGGAGACTCAATGGAGCAGTTGTATCTGTGGAAACGGCAGCCTCCACCCTGCAACACATGACATTATTATGAACACAAGGAGTTCAAAGTATTGTTTTGATGTAGGGCTAAGGGCACAATCTCAATGGCTTATCTTTTTAAACATTCTAATCACTGCAATTTCACACAAACTTTCACTGAACTCTGGTCCAATCCATATGCTTTGGTTTGGTTGGTTCATTGTGAACCTCTTGATTATAAAAGTAATCATTCATGATGAGAAATGGCTGAATCACAATTAAAATTTCATTCATTGCTAAGCCCAAGATGCATCATCTTGCTTCTTCTTGTTTCTTCTCAAGTGCACTCATCGCAGCTGGAAATAGAGAAAAACAAACATAATCCTATCCCAGTACCTGGAAGTCTGTGTTCTTGTGGTTGAGAGCGATGTTGATGGTGAAAGTGGAGGAGTCGTGATGAGGCCTGAGGTACGACTGTCTACCTGGAGTGTACTTCACCACGAAGTTCATCACGGCATAGCCCTAAATAGATACACTTGATGTTAGCACACAGCACACAGCCAGCACTTCCATTATTTGTGCCTGTACAGAGGGACTGAAGGATTTGGGAAAAAACATTCTGATAAACATCGTAATTGAAATTTAAAATGTGTCCAGCAGAACTGACAAAAATACTGAAATACGAAATGACAAAGTGATTCTACATAGACACTGTGAGTTTTTAGCCTTTTTATAATGCTGTAACCTCCTCAAAAACAGACCTGGAGTTGTTTTGTTTCATTCACACATTTGAGTAACCCTTTATTATTAGTCCGTCTACATCCAAAGCTCAAAATGCTCTGTTTCACCTTGTGATGTCATCAAGTGGTTGTTTTCAAATTAACATTTAACTTTTGTTCAGCAGAGATAGGAAATTTCAGGGTTGAAATCATCCAACTGATTCTACTGAAAGTGTATGGAAATTAGAAACACAGTGCAGCGCTTCCTTACCACGTGACATCACAAGGTGGAACAGCGTGTTTGCAGTTAAGAACTAAGTCTAAACATGTGTGAATCGGACAAAACAAAACTCCAGGTGTTTATGATAAGGAAACAACATAATAACAGCTCAGAAATAGCGTAATATGAGGCCTTAACATATTTGGAAAGCTCTAAACTACAGGATACAACAGAATATTCAGCTGTTTGTGAATGGAATGATAGTACTTAAAGTTAATTGCAGCCTTTGTTGTTGGCTAATTACATCCGTTCAAATTGAGATTTTGATTTCATTGTGATCAATCTTTGTCCTAGTGTACAAACATGTCTGGCTATGGCTACAGTTTTCACTCACCTTAGTATAGTATCCAGAAAAGACCTTTAGTGTCACTGGTGAAATGAACTCTCGGAGGAAGTGCAGCCACTCTTTCTCATACCCGATCTGCTTCATGTGGATATCGTCGGTGGGCACTGTCTCATAACCTCCAGCGATCCGTTTGTCCTGAGAAGACACAACGCCATGATTAACGACGGAACAAATGACCTGGCCGCCTCGGAGTGAGAGACAGAGTTTTGGCAGTAGTAGGAGTGTGTGTGTGTGTGTCTGGTGACTATTAACCACAGGGAGTGCTGTTGTCTGCAGCACCAGGCTTAATGGGCCATACAGCTGAGCCTTTCCCAAACGCACCCATTCATCTTTCCAGGCAAACTGTGCCACATGCTAATTACCACTTTCTAACTACATAAAACAGGGCGCACGCATTACATTTATAAAGCAAGATTATACAACCATTGTAAAAGGTTTAACTCTAAGAAAATCAGCATCGTGAAACCAAATCAAAACTGTGAATGTGGCATATATTATCATTTATGTGTGTTGTATTTGTGATGGTTTGGGCTCAGGGAATAGACCAAATCAAAATGGAATTACTTTAAAATATTTTAAAATTTTAAATCCTTGTTGTATAAAAAGTAACTTAAAAATGTGCTACTACTGTTTATTACTACTATTATTACTAGTGCTACTACTTACACCTGCTTTTACTACTGCTACTACCACTACTACTACCACTACTACCACTATTATCACTATTATTACTACTACTACTAATACCACCACTACTACCACTACTACTACTGCTGCTGCAACTGCTACTGCTACTACTACTACTACTACGACTACCGCCAGCACTACCACCACCACCACTACTACCACTACTACCACTACCAGCACTACTACTACTACTACTACCACCAGCAGTACTACTACTATTACCACTACTACTACTAGTACCACCACTACTACTACTAGTACCACTACCACTACCACTGCTACTACCAATACTACCATCACTACTACTACTGCCATTACTACCATTACTACTACTACTACCACTACTACCCTCCTCCTCCTCCTCCTCCTCCTACTACTACCTCTAATACTACCACCTCTACTACTACCACCTCAACTACTACTACTACTACTACTACTACTACTACTACTACTACCTCTACTACCACCTCTACTACTACTACTACTACTACTACTACTACTACTACTACTACTACTACTACTACTACTACTACTACTACTACTACTACTACTACTACTACTACTACTACTACTACTACTACTACTACTACTACTACTACTACTACTACTTACTACTACTACTACTGCTACTACTACTACTACTACTACTACCACTAATACCACTACCACTTTAGTTCAAATACTATCTAGTCCTTGTGCACTAGACTATGTTTCACATCATCTTCTCACAGGCTCCCAGAGACACGGGTTAAATAACAGCCTCAGTGCAGAGAAGAAATTTCAATGAAGTCTACAAATCAAAAAAAAAAAAAAAAGTAAAAAATATTATAATCTAGCAATCTAGTAAAAACACATATCAAAAATAAAAACCACATCTTAAGAAAATCGATCTTCAAAACACTGACCCAGCCCCTGAGCGTTGCATAATAGCACACGCCACAGAGGAAAACCCAACGCTGAGTGCTGACTGGAGCGCTTTGTCCAGTGTCCCTCCGCTCTCAGCACTGACCTCATGTTTGCCTCCGGACCAGGAACCGTAGTGCTCCATCTCCTCCACTAGTTCATCACAGGCCTTCTCTGTTAGCACGGGGAACCAGAACACATCCGGACAGGGCTACAACGCACAGACGCACAAAGGGAGAATTCAAAACCCCGAGAAACCCCGAGAAATGTAACATGCCACCTCTATACTTCATCCTGCTGTAGTATTTATTATGTACTTGAACTCTTACCTCTTCCAAGTAGTTGTGGGTGAAGATCTGTGTGTAGTTCTGGTGGATGTACTTCTCTTTCCAGTCCTGTGGAGATTAGATTTAATGTTAGTCAAGGCCTGTATTGTCTAGACTGTTTGCTGACCTGCATACCTTACATAGTTAATCCCACCTCAAATACCAAGCGTGCCAAGTCCAGGCCAAAATCCCTAAACTTTATATTACCTCACATCTTCTCATCCCCCAGTAAGGGCAGTAAGTGACATAAAAGTGTGTATCTTACATTTATTTAAACCTTATCTTTGGATTGAAATGGAAAGTTCAAATCATACTTCAGAACATTCACCATTTATCCAAAGCAATATAATTTCCATCTCCAGGCAGGTTTGGGGAAGTTGCAAGAATGCTTTTATTTTATTTTAGTATTCATTTAATGCTAAAATGTTAAGCAATGGACTTTAATATTTTTGCAGTGATTCTCTAGCCTGATTCAACAGCCTTTCTTACTTTGTTTGACTTCGTACAAACCGTCTGACCTCGCAGCCTTAGATCTCTTTCGGTCAACTGTAGGTGGGTACTTTTTATCATTTAAACAATCGCTGCTATTTGGTCATGACATATATAATGGGGCTAACTGGTACATTAAGCTTTTCCCAAATCCCTTAAGAAGAAAGACAATAACATCTTTCCCCTTGATGAAATTTACCAAACATTCTCTTTATTCCGGCTTTAAATCCTCGATCTCGGGAATTGTTGACAACACTGAATATATGACTCTTCGCTGATTGGCTGGTGCCCGAACTTGCACTTCTGGGGTTTTTGCGAACCGTCTGTTGTATTTTGATTCCTGACCTAGTTACTGGAGAGAAACGAAATTGAGCAGAGGCACTAGGTGGTGCCAGCCTGGCTAGTGATTCTCCTGATATCATAACGATACTGGATCACTTTTTGATTGGCCTGTGAATTTCAATTTGCACGGAAAAAGTTAATGGACAGTATAATTTTAAAAAGTGCATAAATATTACCTTGTTTGCATCTTTTTGGAAGTTAACTCATTAAAGTCAATAAAGTCAATATTCAGATTTGGAATTCCTTCAAAACATTAGCAATATAATACATCGCCCACCTCTACTCACAAGCCATTATTTCAGCGCTATCCTTTACTCATTACCGCTAATACCATTCACAGGTGCCTGCTGCTCATTTGTGCCTACAGGAGTAATTGTTTCTTTATTTCACAATGAAGCAGAATAATATACGGGCATAATGACTTACCACTGGGTTTTCGAATATCTGCCACAAGTCGTTGTTATAATGAGAAATGTTATAATTGGCTGTGGAAATTAGTCTCCCGAATTCGTGGCGGTTTGTTATGTACATGAAGACTCCCTGTGGCAAACGAAGAAAAAAAAAGTTCAGTGAGCTGCGTTCAAAGTTACAAAACAGCTTTCTCAGTAATGGATCCAAATTTAGACACAATCTGAACACCTAATGCACGGCAGGTCTTCATTACGTGACTCTAACTGATTTAGGCATTCAATTATAGCTTTAATTCCACTGGCTAAAACAAGTTTAATTGCAGAAAGGGTGTTTGTCACAATCAAATGCTTGATTGGTGGGTAAAACCAACAGAAATATAAGTGCCATATAAATAATCTGGGATTATTTATGGGTGCTGCAGGGCGTTGTGGGCTGGGAGTGAGATTAGATTACAGGAGGAGGGAAAGGACGTGGTTTGGGATAAAGCAAATTAAGGAATACTACTTTTACTAGAGGGAAAAGTGAAGGCTGCTCTACGTTTGGACTCTATCAGACTAGGCTTTCTGTAGGATTTCAAATATGACAAATGAGTAAGAATTTTGGGAAGGGAATTACAAATACATATCGTAAACGTATGCCAAAGATAATATGTGATAATTTTGCAGCCTAGTCTGAGATCAGTCTGAGTTGAGTGAGCAGGTGGCTACAGTTAGGGGGCTGTTTGAAATAAGGCATCAGGACAGAGGACTTGCAAATGGACCCTCCTCCTATTTGACAAAACCAAGATAAACAGGAAAACAGGTGTTTTCTCCCACTTAAACCAAATACTTTTACACTTAGATTCACTGATCAAATTGTTTCCAGGCATTCCTTATTGAAAACAAATCCTGCTCTTTCACATAAAAAAATCTGACAATTTAACAATACTGTATTTTAATTGGCTTTTGCATTTACAACATGCACATAAAAGACTAGACTGTGAAAATGTGCTATGATCTAAGCCACTGGACATGTCAGAATAATCAAAACAAATGGGAACCTTCGGGGGCCTGAGCATATGGAATGATTCCGGAGAAGGGGAGTCTTTTTCTCTGTGACTGGTCTAAAATAAAGGAGAAGCATTATGTCAATACGATAACATAAATACTTATGTTAGAAAGACACATTTGTCACATACACATAGTTAAAGGAGGACAGCTCATGTGCCTGTGTGTAAAAGAGCAAGGGTCCCTCTGAAGCTGATGTCTTTGTGAGGAAATGCAAGGCATGCTGGGAGAAATAGTCACACAATCCAAAAGTGCACAGTTTGGACACGGGTTATAATTATTAGGTGAAAAGTGAAAGTGTTTTTTGTCAGCCGTCAGCCAGGGGTTACAGCTGAGTGCACTGTCTGTGGTCACATGACACGTAGGACGGGGAGAGGGTGATGGATGTAGAAGTGTAGAAGTGCCAGTTTAAGATCTTAAGCGTCGCAGAGCCCTCCATAAACACAGGCAAGCCATGCCTCGGTGACATACAAAAGAACCACATTCACTATACTTGCCCGTGTCCTGTTTGCTGCACTGTTGATTCATCAAGGTTAACATTCAGTATATTCAAGCACATATGACAGATTTTCATGTTTTTTTTTTTCTAATTATGACTTGGTTTTGGATGATAGTATTTCTTCTAAATATTTATCATAGTTTTATATCGAATAAGTGGCAGTTGAAAAGAAAAGTAAAAAATTACAGGAAGTAGCACAGAATTATGAAACAGAATTTGTCTGCCTATGTCAACACTCCAAAATTCAATTTATGCGCAAAAAAATTTAAAGGGCCCATATTACGCTTGTATATCCATATTTGTTGTGTTTTTTTCCTGCATATTTAGGCTGAGTTCTTTTCTTAAATTAAAAACGCTCTGTTCCAGGTTAGATTATAACATGGTTTAAAAATCTGTGTATCATTCGTTCATTTGTTTTTCAAAATAAAACCAAAAATAAGAAAACTAAAAAACAAATATTTTCTTCATTATTTGTCTCCAAAACTAAAATGAAAAAAACAGATAATGATTTGTTTTTTCAGTTTTTGATTTTGGGTTTAAATTAATAATGGAAAAAAAGGATAATGACCATTTCCCGTTTCTGGGATTTAAACTGTGATGCCGGACTGAACCAAGACTGAACCAAGACTGAACCAAGACTGAACCAAGACTGAACCAAGACTGAACCAGGACTAAACCATTTTCAGTCCTGGTCTGGTCCCGGTCTCAGTCTGGTCTCAGTCTGGTCTCAGTCCAGGTCTCAGTCCAGGTCTCAGTCCAGGTCTCAGTCCTGGTCCTGTTCCCAGTCTCAGTCCTGGTCTCAGTTCTGGGGCCTCATTTATAAAAACTGCGCAGGAGTTGTCGTAAGTTAGTGCGTACGCCTAGTAGCTACGACAAGGCGTGCGCCACGCAAACTCCATATTTAGAAAACCCACCGCACGCACCAAACCATGCAATCTTTGCTTTATAAATCCCACCTGCAACTACAATTTGCACACGTAAACCTACGTCGTCACGTCACGCCCTCTCCACACCTCCACCTCACCATAAAAGGAGCATGTGAAAGTGACTTGGTGAATGAGATTTCCCTAAACATGAGCCAATAATCAGTGGGTTTGACCGAGACACGCGGGACAGAGGGAGGACGCTCCACGCAGCACCACGTGATCACGACAAAGACTTTATTAAAGACTTTATTAAACCTTGTTTAATAAATAAATACAAAACTAAAAGTGACAACAACGACTCATCTTTTCATTTAATCATTTTTTATAATATTTAGGCAGCACATCTTTGCAGTAAAGACCATGTGTTTTTTCGCTGTTTCAAGAGTTTTATCGCTATATTTTTAAGTCTGTCTATGAAGTGTGTGAGGACTGGCCCTGTATTTATGCACATACACGTAGATATGTGCACGCGCAAATTATGAGCGCGTGCGAGAGATTCAGATGCCCTCCCCTGGAGAGCGAAAGGAGCGAGGGAAGGACACGAGGATACGAGGACACAGATTTAGCATGAAACACATCAGATACAGATGTTATTCTGCCAACTAAAGTCCACACGAAACATCCAAACTGCTGAACCTGTGAGTGTGGGTCTGGGTCGGGACGGGCACGGGCATTATTCTGTTCTTCATATTGTCAGAGAGCAGCTCTCATGTACAAGAGTTCCCCATTACACAAAAATGTAGGGAAGATTTTGGTTGGGGTCAGGTTCGGGCAGTAGGCTTCGTGTTGTCCGCAGACTCAGGTCACTCTGGCGCTCGGTGCGTAAAGACTAAAGTAAAAGTGTTAAAGTTGCGTTCATTAAATCAAAGCCTGGCTCCTGCTGCGTCCAAGGGAAGAGTTTTTCTCTCAGGTCGGGTCATTATTTCGTCCTCTGTGTTGGTCACAGACTGTGTTCTATAGAAGTCTATGGTCGCGGTGTGGACTGTGGGACTCTGCGCTACACTGAGTCCGGGAACGTGGCCGCGCTCGTGCACGAGTGTCAAATGTATAATATTGTGGAGAATAATGAGTGGAATAAACAGCCCTTCTCCGTATTTTGGCGAACCAAACACTTAAATGCGCAAATCAGAAGGTAATTCTTCTATATACGTGGATTTTCTGATCAAACACTTCCTCAAACTCTGTTCACTTCTGCTTCTCTCCACGAGTGTCGCTTTTCTCCCCGTGTCTCCAGACTTTGCGTAAAAACTTACAGGAGGTTCCCGAGTTGGCGTAGAGTTAAGCAAAGAGCCACGCCTTAGGCGAGTTTTATAAATACCGCGGTTGGCGTAGGAAGCGCGCACGCACGGATTTTTGCGTAAGCAAGCTTTATAAATGAGGCCCCTGGTCTGGTCCCGGACTGAGGCCTGGCCTCAGTCCCGGTCTGGTTGGACTTGGTTTAGTCCTGGTTCAGTCCGTATGTGGTGCAAAAGTCCGGCATCACAGTTTAAGTCACAGAAACAGAAAATACATTTAAAAACAATTTAACACAAAAC